TCTTTCTTATACATATATGAGTGTCTCTGGATTTGTTTCTCTAGTCAACCCAGACTAACACAGGCCTCTCAAAGCCTCATTGAAAAGTAATCATCTATGTAATAGTTGTTGAAAACCAAAGTCTGGCAATGTTGATAAAACGGTATGCCGACTTTCTGTTTCACTCTAAAAGACTTCTTTCTTGTATGTTTTAGTCAAAGAAGTTTGGCAGAGATCACGGAACTTATCCATACCGCTCTCCTTGTGCATCGTGGGATCGTGAATTTAAATGAAGTGCAGTCTTCTGATGGGCCACTGAAAGACATGCAGTTTGGAAATAAAATAGCTATCCTGAGTGGAGACTTTCTTCTAGCAAATGCCTGCAATGGACTCGCTCTACTGAAGAACACCAAGGTAAAATCGAGCGGGTCTGCTGGGTCTGGACACAGTCTGTAGCTACCGAGATGCCGGTAGAGCCGCGAAGGTCTGCGCGCCGCTGCGACCGCCCCTCTCACAAGTGCCTGTTCTCTGCTGCTAGTGACAATGATGGCATGTCACGGTAAAGGCTGAGACAGTGCTGAGATTAATTTCTTTTTTCCCCTGACTGTAGTTGAATTTATATTTTAGTAATAGAATAGCTTTAAATATTTAAACTAAAGAAGATTTAAATAAACATTACCTATAATCTCACAATTTAAAGATAATCACTGTTATTTAATATTTTTATTTTGTTGTTCATTTATACTTTTATGGACTGGATTTTTTTTATTAACCTAGAGAGTTTGCTATGTATAAGATTTTTTTCTTCATTTCCACTTCTTTCTGCCCTGCTTCGTAGTAAAGTACTATGGAAATTTTTCCCAGGCTCTTAGGCATTTTCATAAACTTTCTTTTTTTTTTATCATACATTTTCTAATGACTGTGTAGTAGTCATTGTAATACCATTTGTCTTCCTCATATTTAAATATTTAGATTGTCTCTAAATGTTTGTAGTCATGAATAACTGCACTGAGCATGTTTTCCTTCATTTCAGATTATATCTGGATAAATTACCTTGAAATAGTTCAAAGGATAGAAACTTATTTCATATTCTTGAATTCAAACACTAGTTCATACATTGTCAAGCTGCTTTTTAGAAAAGTTGTAGCAGTGTTCCCTACATAGCAGTTGGTAGTAGCTTTAATATAAGGTAACAGCAACCTAAACAAATAGAAAATTTTCCCTTGTGAAAAATCCTCCAAATAGGCGGTCTGAGGTTGGTGAGATGATCCTACAAAGTCAGGGAGCAGATCTCTCTGATCTGCCATCCTTATCTCTCCACCTCTTGGCCCACTATGGTGGCTTGTCCTGCTACCATGTTCTTATTTCAGTCAGGAGGAAGGAAGAGTCTGTGTTCTGTTTTGTTAGGGACAGACTCATAAACCTGTTCTAGAATCCCATCTGATTTGGTATTTGTCTTGAATTTTAATTTTCTAGCAGAAAATGCTATAGCTATTACAATTATATTAGAATAGATGAAAATGGGTTCAACACATGCTCACTTGTACTTTTTGCCTCTGCCTTAATTTTTGAATTGTGTAGTCTGATAGTGTATGAGACCCATCCATGCACAATGAAGGGAGTTCTCATTTTAATGTGTTCTTCAATCTAAAAGATAACCACCAATAACACTTTGCTTTTCCCAACCCTTTGCAAACAGAGGATTAACTACCACCGCCCAGTGGAGAGTACTTACCAATACAAGAAGGCAGGCACACTCAGAGATAAGCATCTATGAACAAGCAACTCCATGCTCTCTTGGGCATTCGTGGGAGCAGTAATTTATGCTGCCAATCCACTTGTCCCCATGGTATATCACCAGCTTGACCATGGTCTTCCAGACTCACAACCCTTCCAGGCTCCAATTGATAGGCACAGTGGGAAACAAAGGACATTCTCATTTCTGTTACTGAGAAATATATCTGAGAAAAGAAATCTGATCATTCTACTGCAAAGTGAGTAGCGAGTAGACTAAACTCACTTGTATGGTACAAATCTATAACTATTTGCTTGTTTGATTTTACAGTAAACCCGTTAGGCAGCAATATGCTCAAAAAATAAAAGTACATTTTCCACATTTTTTAAATACTTACTTTATTTCTCAAGAAAGTTGGTAATGAATGTGTAGTTTGCACAAAATGTTTCTTGATATTACTATCCACATGGAGGTCTAAGTAGTTAGGCCTGGTGGCTCTGTCGTTATGAGGGAGTACCCAAAAACACTGGAATTGAGCTGGGGGAGTAGAGTTTCCCTAGTACGCTTTTTTTCTACTAGGCGAGCATCCGGCAACTCACTCTGAGTTGTGCACCCACTTAAGTTGTTCACCTTCCCAAGTGTGCATCACCTGGGAAGGTTCTCTCTGGTCACAGTGAATTTTTTCATAAAAGCAGTTTTGCGTGAACCTCAGTTTTTGGTGTGATGGCCGATTTAAGAGAATAGCATGTGGCTGTGAAATTTTGTTTCTTGCTCGGGGGGAAAAATGTCACAGAAACTGTTGTGATGTTGAACACAGTTTATAAGGACAGCACTGTGAGAACAACTCAAATGTACGAGTGGTTTTCTCATTTCAAAAAAGGTGAAATGGGACCAATAATGTTTCTTGATATTTACTATCCACCATGGAGGTCTAAGTAGTTAGGCCTGGTGACTCAGTAGTTATGAGGGAGTACCCCAAAACACTGGAATTGTGCTGGGCGGAGTGGAGTTTCCCTAGTACGGTACCAGGAAGGGAAGGGGAAGGTGGGAGGAGAAAAGGGAAACCGATCACAATGATCTACATATAACCCCCTCCTAGGGGAATGGACAACAAAAAAGTGGGTGAAATGAGACAGCGGTTTGTGAAAGACATGAAAAAAAAATTTATGGGAGGGTGGGGGTGGGGTGGGAAATGAGGAGCTCATACCAAGGGCTCAAGTAGGAAGAAATGTTTTGAGAATGATGATGGCAACATATGTACAAATGTGCTTGACACAATGGATGGATGGATGGATGGATGGATGGATGGATGGATGGATGGATGGATGGATGGATGG